ATAGGATACCACACTAAAAAAGTATTGCTTTTCAACCCATGATTTCTATGAGTAATAATTATTTTCTTTTTTTCTCTTCCAACTCTATCTTCTTTCTCCAACGAGAGCGCGACACGAACTCTATAGAAACTGGTGGTTTCTCCCCAATGGTGATTTCATGTGCATTGGGTCAAGAGTAGACCTGATTTCTTCATGAAGAAACCATTTCTATGGTTTTTGCTCTCTTTCTTCATTAATTACGTTGCCATGTCAGCATTTTACCTACGTGACAAGTTATTTAATGAGAATAGAAACCATCGTCAATGCATCATTGGGACTACACTAAGACAAAAAAGACACTAAGATGGAAGAGGACAGGTTTGGTACAATCTGTGGGGTTCTTCCATTCCAAAAGAAAACAAGAGGATAGGGAAGATGCCATGATTGGTCGGAATGAGTCCCCTCGCAGCTGTTTGAGTGCTGCTATGAATGAGCGCCCAAGCCCATGATTTCATCACAGTCCTATGCTCCTATATATACGATGTTTATCCACAAAATCATGTTCCTGAAAAGAACGTTTATCTGCAGACCCAAAACTACAGTAAGGCTAAGGAAGTGATGTATATATCCCTCTCTCGCTCTCACCTCTGATGGAAGTGATGTATATGTAGATTTTTTTATTTTTAACACTTTTTTAAACTAATTTTAAATCTAACATTGTTTTTTTCTCTCCAAAACTAACACTTTTGGCCATGCCTATTGTCATGGCGCGACGAAACGTCTGTGCCGCACCATGCATGGTGGCGCGGCGGGAGGATGACGTGGCGAAGACCGGGGGCGCTGATCGGTGACGTGGCAGGGTCGGTCGCGTCACCGATCTTGGCGCGGCATTGCCGCGCCATCCCTCATGGCACGACAGAGTAGGAATGCAAATCAAAGCTGCTGTGTTGCACATCACGTCCTCCTGTGTGAGAGACAGCACCAGAGATTCCTGTAAACCGGGACTATTCTCAATTTTCGCTCGCCAACTCGTAGTGGTCCCGTTTCCCGCGCGCGCCATCTCTCTCCCGTTTGGCGCCTCCCGCGCGCTGGCGCTGCCCTCAAACGCCGACCGCCGCGAGTCTGCGCTGCCATGATGTGTCCTTGCGGCCAGGATGCGTGTCCTTCACTCCTCCTGCGCGCCAGGCGCCCCTGTAGGCTGCATCCCAACTCCGTCCTGTGTGGATTGCTGCGCGGATTGGCCCTGCTAGAGTGCTAGTGCTAGGCTGCTAGGCGCCTACCTATTGGCCGGCCAACACAGATGGACGTGCGAGCGCTCGGCTAGGCGTCTGCCTTCTGTAATTTGTTATTTTTCTTGTATTACAATATATTTTTTAAAACAAAACTGAGCTGGGACAGATAACTATTTTATTGTAAAGGCAAAAAATGACTATTCCCCATTATTAGGGCACCCTCAAAAACAAAAGTCAACTTACTAACTTATAATTTATTTTTGGCTGAAAAAACAAACATATGTGGAGGAGATTGATTTTGTGGAGCAAACATCTGGCACAGCCCTCGATAGAAAGTTTTAAGGTTTTTTTTGCAACTCTTATAATAGAAAGTTTTGAGTTTTTTTTTTTGCAACTCTTATAGTTACATTAAATTCTAAACAGAAAATTTTTAATAGGATTTATTTAGTATCGTTGATATAAATATTTGTATTTATTAATTAAATTTGATATGGTTTAAGATTGTACTCTACTGTATCTTTGTTTTCCTTCGTGGACGGAGGGATGTGAGTGTTCATTCAAGTTTATGGGTTTGGCAAACGTGCTGATGGTTGCAGAGAATAGGGAGCACGAACGACATGACTTGTCAAATCTCCTCTGTCCAAAGACTCCCATCAATCATCGTCATATGTGGATGGAGGGATATGATTTGTACAGTACTACTGTACGTACTACTGTATGTACGTAGATCACTAGCCAGTACTCCCTCGTCCAAAAAAAAACTTTTAGGCTTAGAACAACTCAAATTTTTTTAAATCTAATCAAATTAATAGTCCCAATATTTATGTCTTTAAATAGACTTACCACAAAATAAATTTAATAATTAATCTAATGATATTTATTTGATATCACAAATATTTTTATTTTTCATATAGTTGTAAGTAAACTTAAATTGTTTGACCCCTTAAAAATAAGAATTGTATTTTCTTTTGGGACGGAGGGAATATTATATTTAATGATCCTTTTAAAGTAACCGCAAAAGTCTAGATAAAAAAAAAGATTGCAAGATTTTTCTGATTAAATTATTCTCTAAAATAAAATCCCTCTAAAAGAACTACCACGTCATACCGTTTTTTTTTTAATCTCATCTCCAGCTCCAGCTTTGCCCGGCCACCGAGCGCTCGCACGTCTATCTGTGCTGGCCGGCCAGTAGGTAGGCGCCTAGCAGCCAAGCACTAGCACTCTAGCAGCCTAGGCGCCTAGCACTAGCACAGGCACTGGCACGTCTATTCAATGTCTTTAATGAGAGCTGGAGCCATCCTGAGAGAGAGAGCAGAGTCAACAAGAGGACGCGATGTGCAGCTACACAGCAGCTTTGGCCGCGCCGTGAGGGATGGCGTGGCACTGCCGTGCCAAGATCGGTGGCGTGGCAGACCCTGTCACGTCACCGGTCAGCGCCCCATGTCTTCGCCACGTTATTCTTCAGCCGCGCCACCATGCATGGCGCGGCACAGGCGTTTCGCCGCGCTATGGCAATAGACGCGGCAAAAAGTGTTAGTTTAAAAAAAAAACAATGTTAGATTTAAAAATAGTTTACAAAAAAATGTTAAAAATAAAAAAAATCTATATGTAATCGTTCAGGCACTTCTTGCGGTCGTTAGAGCAGCTGATCCCAAGAGCAACTTAGGTGAAAAACTTCGAGTGGAGCTCGACGATAGTGGCCTCAGCCGGTGGTGGAGCCAGAAATGTGTTTTTTTCACTTTTTTCAGGGGACAAGGGCAGCAGTATAATTTCTTCAAAAAATTTCAGTCAGATTTAAAAAAAATCAATAAAAAACTATAGGGCCTTTAGGGTGGGTGGGGTGGGCGGTCATGCCCCCCTCGCTCCCCTGTCTCCGGCACTGGCGTAGCATCAGGTCATCGGACAACGCACACCAGCATTTGCAGTGGCGGAGCATGGCCTTGAACAAAAGGGGGGGTTTGTCCATGTTGCTTCTGACATAGCTACCTTAGGTACTCCTCTTTTCTTTGGTATTGGATGGGGCTAAATAATATAAGGTACTAACTATATACTAAAAGCTATAACAAAGAACATAGATAATGATATCCATTCTAACGTCCTATATATGTCCTACTATGATGCACACTCGCTTATTTTTGGCAGGAGTGAGGAAGTGAGGCACGGTCACCGTATTTTTTTTGACCTGAAGGCCAGTCGGGGGGGTGGTGTGGGGTTGTCAGCCTAGCAGCCCCCGTGTGAATCCGCCCCAGGTTTCTTTACTCTGACGCATGAACAAGGTAGCTCTGACACGTGACATACTCTATCCATCGTTAAAAGAATATAATTATAAGATCCATGCCCGTCAAATAGCTCAATTTTAATTAAGTTTGTAGTAAATATCGGTATTTATGTCTCCACATAAATTTATTACAAAAATATTTTATATAACTATTTTAATGGTACTTATTTTGTATGAAAAATATCATTATATATATATTTTATATAATTTCAATCAAAGTTCAAACCCTTATTCACTAAAAAGGGAGAATTGTATTCTTTTGTGGATGGAGGAAGTATTGTTTATACTTCAATGGTTGACAACGCCGAGCAAGGGGGCTAAGAGCATCTCCAATAGTATCATAAATTTTTCTCTCAAAAAGTCCATGTTTTCCAACTCCTAAAAATGTATTGGGAGAAAAAAGAAGCCATCTCCAATAATTTCTAATAATTCACTCCTAAAATATAGAAGACAATTTTACATCATGAATCCTATACTACTTCTAAATTATTTTAACCATTTCGTATTCTTTATTCTTTTTTCGCTCTTCCACCTTTAATTGGCCGAAGAATACGTGTCAACGCGCGACCGTGACTCTACGCAAAGTTACGCGCGACAGGGAAGGATTTCCTAAAGTACGTAAATTTTAGGAGGAAGGATTATGAGTTGTTGAAGAGAGATATTTTCTTATCTTGCCAAAAATCAAGAATTAGAAAGGGAAATAGGGTACTCTTATGGATGCTACCGCCGCCCAATAAGTTCGGTCAAGGGGGCTCTTTCATACGGGATTGTTTGATTTTTTTTACCAGAAAAATGAAGAAAAAAAAAGGACTGAGTGGCACTATGTTCCAATTGTGGACACGAAAATGGTGTGGAGTATAGGAATGATTCGTTCAGACAAAAAGGATAGTAAGATGGAAGAGGATAGGTACTGTGCGGTTCTTCAAAAATAATAAAAAAACAACAACAAAAAGAGGATAGGGAAGACACGATGATTGGTCGGAATGAGTCCCTCGCAGCTGTTTGAGTGTCGCTATGAATGAGTGTCCAAGCTTTCATCATAGTCCTCTACGATGTTTATCCACAAAATCATGTTCCTGAAAAGGACGCTTCTCTGCAAACCCAAACCTACAGTAATGTTAATTGCTAATGCTTGCTCTGTTTGGAAAGCGGAATTTTTCTTTTTCAATTTTCTGTTTTTTTCCTGTAAAAACGAATTGATTCCTGATCATTCCAAAGTGCTAAGAAGCTCCAAAATTTAAATACCCTGAGATTTCAGTGCATGAACTGAACCAACCGTCATGTGTGTGTCTGTTCCTGTTTAGATGGTCAGGTATGAACCCGGGTACGCCTTCAAGGAACTGAACCCGGTCCAGTGGCAGTGCAGCGGCACACCCAAGGTAATCGCTGCGTGCCTGCATCGCAAAGATGAACCAAAGTTCCTATCTGTCCTCATGTCAAACATGGTGACTCCTCTACCACGCACTGCACATTCTCAGGTCCTGATCCCAGTGGCTAACGGGAGCGAGAAGATGGAGGTGCTCGTGACCGTCGACGTGCTGCGCCGGGCCAATGCGGACGTCGTGGTGTCGTCGGCCGAGGGCGGCGCCGAGGTCGTCGTCGCGCGCCACGGCACGAGGATCGTCGCCGACGCGCTGCTGCACGACGCCGTCGCCGCCGGCCAGCAGTTCGACCTCGTCATCGTGCCGGCAAGTCGCGCGCTCTCTGCATTGCTGCTACCCTGCTCGATACGGTCGTCGCTGACATGACGCTGATGGAAATGTGCAACTGCATTGCATGCATCCCTGACTGTCTTGCTCACGTGGACCAGGGTGGCATGCCCGGCGCGAAAGACGCTGGCCGGCACGGAGGCGCTCGTGGCGCTGCTGAAGGTGCATGCGGCGGCGGGCAGGGCGTACGGCGCCACGGCGCAGGTGCTGGAGCCGCACGGCCTCCTCGAGGGCAAGAAGGCGACGACGTGCGCGTCCACGGCGGACCCCAGCGAGTGCGGGAGCAGGGTGGTGGTGGACGGGAACCTGGCCACGAGCGGCAGCCCCGGGACGGCTATGGAGTTCGCGCTGGCCGTCGCGGAGAAGCTGCTCAGCCCCGAGGCGGCGCGGGAGGTGGCGGAAGCCCTGCTCTTCGTCTGACGGACCACGGACGGAGAGGAGCTGTGCAGTGCAGGGCCCGGTCGCACTTGCCGTCGTGTCACCGAATCGTGTTTGATCCTTTGCAATCGAGATCATGGAACGTGGCCACCTTCCACGCTTGGTAACATCGATCCGAAAACATTATCTCGTATAGTAAAATCTCAAAAAGTATCGTTACTTATACACAGCGACGATCTATAAAATATTTTAGAAAGGCTGAACAACACTGCTGCTCGATCTCAAGTCTTAGCCCCCTACACTATAGAACTTTACCTAAAAATTCATATGAGCTCTACAGTAATTTGCACTATTTCAGGATGGGTAGGAGGGCTTGAGCCCCCCCTCCCGCCCCCACTGCTGGATCCGCCCATCACCACCTTGTTCGCTGGTTGGTTTTAGACAGCCTAAACCAGTCAGCCAACAGTGTTTTCCTCTCACAACAAACCAGCACCAGCCAGTCCAAATCAGCCCACAAACCAACCAGCGAACAGGCCGCATGCTTATAGAGGTGGTACTTGGACTGGGCCATGCTGGCTCGGTTTAGTTCTTTTGTGCTTTGTGTCACTTCGGATGGTGACTTCTAAACGTGCAGGTGCAAGGCATGTCGAGTACTAGTGCGTGCCCTAGTCTTTGCTTCAACCAAAGCATGATCTGTGGCACCGACATGCCTTCATATATCGTACTTCTAAAAAATAGTGTTCTAGCTAAGGCATTAAGCGATAGTTCCTCTTCAAACAACTAATAGCAGGCTAAATTAGACTATAGGGGCTAAATTGTATATATGAGCAAATAGCTTGACCCTCTAGTAGCTATATGAGAAAATTTGTTCATTGCCATCAAAATCTATTACAATGTGTTCATTGCCATAAAAAATCATAGATTTCCTTAACTGACATTAATTATGGCTTTGTCCGTTTGTCTTGTCACGGACACTCTGAGTCTGAGTCTGACACCTAGCCCAAGCTGACTCCTCTTTCTTTTCTGCGCTCGCTCGCTCGCCTCCTTCTCTCCCTCTCCATGAGCTCTCTGCCTCCCTCTCCCTTTTCCATGAGCTCGCTCTCATTCCTGCCTTCCTGCTACTACTCTCTCTTTGTGATTGAGCCTGGCGCACACACGCATCGTGCCGTGGGAGGCCACAAGCAAGGCGTCGACAAGAGGGAATCCATCGGGACGGCATCGGCAACGACGAATTGTAGCGCGGTCGCATCCTTCTTCGATGAAGACGTCAACATCGGCCGCCAAACGGGCACCAGCAGAGATCGCGATCTGTTGGGGACGTGGCAATTTTTCCTCACAAGGATTTGATTTTAATATTCATTTGAATCCCAATCGGATTTTGTTGTGTTTATACTCTTATTTTTTTTTGGACAAGGTTCAATCTCATCCGGTTCGATTCAGGGTCATGTTCCTATTCGATCTGATCCAGATTGATTCATGACCATTGACTTGGAATTTGATTGGATTTTATTTTAGTCGCTTCAGAAGTTTGAGTCTCACGTGATAGAATTGGGTTTTGATAAAGCTTCTCTCTTATTTTAAAAGTTTTTTGCCACACGGTTTGGGGAACCTGGGGAAGGTGCCAAGCTGGAAAAAAACAACAACACATCGTACTGTGTCCGCAACAAACTCGGTACCGTATTTACAGCAAACTCGGTCATAGGAGCCTGCCCGACTTATACAAGCGGCAGAAAAAATTTGATGATAGAAATTTTGCCTCTTTATTATTATGGATGGATGTATTTAAATCTAATAAATAATTTATCGATTAGTTTGAGTCCTATCTTAATTTGATACAGACTCTGAGAAGGGGGAGGATGGAAAAAAGAAAAAAGAATCTAGGAAAAAAAATAATACGAATAGAACCTAGACTGAAAAATATATACAAACATACCGGGGTGGAAAAAGAGGTAGAAAAAAATTATGGTGGAAATTTTACCTTTTTATTATTAGGTACAGATATAGATAAGATTTTTTTTTCTTTAATAGATGGAGTAATAAAATTCCCAGCTTTACGTACATCCTCGAACAATGTCACGACCTGATCCGTGCCATCGTGTCACCGAATCGTGTTCGCCGGAAACGTGGAAACGATTATATCATATGGCATAAAAAAACTTTTTTGATTAATTAAAGGGATAAAAATCCTAGCTTTGCGTACATCCTCCTCGAACAATGGCACGACTGATCCCTTCGCGTGAATTAGGGCCATTTTTTTACATGTCAGACTGTCATAGCTTGCGGACAACATGCATCAGAGAAAGGTTTTCCAAATCATTCTCCAACAAAACTAAAACTAGGGCGTTCGAAAACTTTTTCTCATATCTTAATACAAACATACGTAAACCTTTTACGTGATTAAAAAAAACTAGAAGAAATAACATGCACGTCGCATACCTACAGTGCAAGCCCTCCTCACTGTCCAGGATTTTTTTTATTTTTAACACATTTTTAAAACTAATTTTAAAACTAACGTTATTCCATTTTTTTTTTCAAATCTAACACTTTTGGCGCGCTTATTCGCACGGAGCGGCAATTTAATTGTTGCGCTTACATGCATGGGGCGCGGCAAGCTTGCCCATGTGGCGAGGACTAGTGGTTTAACCGGTGACGCGCCATGCATCATGGCGCGGCAATCGACGCCACCACCGTCTAGAAGCGCGCGGGCGAGCCGACTATATGCTCATGCCTAGTCGCCGCGCACACACGATCGCTTCGCCACGCACGCCGCGCGCTGCGCCGCCCTTCGCAGCGCCACTTACGGCGGCGGCAAGACTCACTCGCGCCCGCAAGACGCCGACGCGCCACCCCCTCTGGCCGCCCGCCGCGCCCTCCGGCTACACACGACGGCTGCCCGCCGTGCCCGCCACCACCATCACTGCCGCGCCACCGCTCTCTCACCACGCCGCCGCATGCTGCCGCCGCCCTCGCCCACTGCGTGTTGTACACCGCTCCCAATCTGCCGTCGCCCTCTCTCTATCCGTGTCCACCACCGCCGCCGCCGCCAAGGTCAGCGCCGCGCCCTCGCCCCGGTCTAGCACTGCACGCCGCCATGAGGACGAGCGCGCGTGCCACGAGGTATTCCCCTAGTGTATTTGTTGATTGAATCGACATTGTTAGTATAGTAAGTTAGTACAATAAGTAAAGTTAGTATAGTTAGTAAAGTATAGTTAGTAAAGTTAGTTAGTTTTGTTAGTATAGGCAATATAGTAAGTTAGTATAGATAGTAAAGTTAGTTAGTTTAGTTAGTACAGCTTAGTGAGTCTAGTTATATATTGTATTTAGTATAATTAGTTGTTGTAGTTAGCCTTGTATAGATGTTAATATTAGATTAGTTAGTGTAGTTATAGTTAGAATATGTATTAATATTACTATGGACATTACGCATTTGACGATTTCAACGACTCGATGAAGTTTCTTGAAATGCTTTTGTAGATGGATTGTTGTGTTAGAGTTTTTAACGGAGGAAGTGTTAGGAGAGAAGATGGTATATTTGAGGATATGGAAGAAGAATTGGAATGGTTTGATGAACCTACTAGCTTCAACGACCTTTATGTCTGCATTTGAATGCAAAGTTTGTGGTGATTTCACACTGAAGGGGAGGTTTGATACAGGGAAGACTAGGGCACACTATATCCTGATGCCCTTACGCGACCCTACTCACTGGTCCCGCTATACTAGGGTACTCCAAGGTTCTAATGTGTCCATGGCTAAGGTGGTGGTGGAGAATAGATATAGGATGCAGGGTGGTCTGGACAGGCCATCCATTGACGATGTTGGAGGCAATGAGTAAGAATTGGGGGTCGAAGGGGAAGCAACTCAGGGTAACATGGATTTGGACGATCAGTTGACACTGGAGTAGTTTCATTCAAGTCAAGTAGACTGTATAAGCAATGACTTCGATGTGAACGAGTTCGAACTAGAAGAGAAGGAGGAGGACAGGATCGGTGATGTAGTTAGCAGTGATTCGGACGATTCAGATGATGACAAGAGAGATAGACATGCTATGCTCACACCGGTTGATACCATGCCAGTACCTGTTTATGGTATGCCATTACCAGTACCAACTGAGGTTTTGCATGCTATCCAGGCTCAGAGTAGACTAGTCATAGATTTGTCAGCAGATGATATCCCCTATGATTCATGGAGCAGAATTAGCGAAGCGCAGCAGTATGTTCCACCACCACCTTACACAGCGACTGAGCTTGAGCAACTAAGGTCGATGAACGTACCTTTCAGGGGCGTTCCGAACTATAGGGATGTCAGCTGACGAATATGGCAGTTTGTGACACCGATCTCTAGATGTATAGAAAATCATTGTATGACCATGAGAAAGAAACCCTTAGGAAGGGGATGATATTTAATACAATGTCAGAGATGAAGCTCTTCCTTCAGGACTATGCTGTATATCACCATAGGCTGTACAACGTCACTCATTCGGACCAGGAGTTGAGGTACCACGTGATATGCAAAAACGGTTGTATGTGGAGGTTAAATGTATGAAAGAGACAGAGTGATGGCAAGTGGAGGATAAGTAAAGTTGTCGAACCCCACACTTGCCTAACAAATAGGGGGAAGGAAAATCATCAGCAGCTCACTGCACGTTACCTTACCCGTCGTATATTTGGGCTCATTGATGACAATAACTATATTTCGATGTCTTCTTTACAACAGTCCATATCTGAATTCGTTAAGTACGATGTGAAGTACGAAAAGGCTTGGCATGCTAAGCAAATTGCTCTGACGATTCGATAGAGTAGTTGGAAGGAAGCGTACAACATGGTGCCCCACATCTTATGTGCAATGCATTAATTCAACCCTGGCTTGAAATGGTATGTGGACACCGGAGGGATGTATTTTTGGGACCCATTGAGGCATGTCCTCTATCGTGTGTTCTAGTCGTTCGCACAAATGAAACATGCATTCTAGTTTTGTCGGTCTGTCGTACTTGTTGATGGCACTTTTCTGATAGGAAAGTACAGGGGCACCTTGATGATGGCTGCTGTTGTTGCTCCTGAGGACCAGATAGTACCCATGGCTTTTGCTTTGGCAGAGGGAGAGAACAATGAATCGTGGTTATGGTTCATGTGGCTTCTACGTGTATAAGTGCTTGGCCCATCTCGCACTATATGTTTGATCTCGGACCGTCACCCAGGGCTTCTTAATGCTACAACTGAGCATATAGATGGGTTCCCGCCTCTAGTGCATAGATGTTGCATGAGACACTTTACCGCTAATTTCTGGCGGCATCAGAGTAAGCAGGAGGTATGTGACAAGGTAAAGGCTCTATGTTGTATACGTACAGAGCACCAGTTCAAGGAGATAGAGAGAACTAGACAAGATGCTAAATGAAGCGGGAAAAGCCTGGTTAGAGGCGCAGATGGAGCAGAAGGCTCAGTGGGCGTTAGCATATGATGAGGGTGGTTTCAGGTATGGTATCATGACCACTAACTCCTCGGAGTCCTTCAACCGTGTATTCACCGGAGTTTGATCCTTGCTGTGTTTGAAATTGTTGAGTTCTTTCATAAGTGCAACGAATATTTTGTCAAGAGGTGGGAACTTGCGTAGAGGAATATAGCTGAGCAGGGGCATTTTGAAAAGGCCGGAGCAGAACACTTGAAGGAGGCCGAGGAATTGGCCAAGCAGCACACCACCGAGCCTTATGGACCCCGCCGCCATATCTTTAGTGTACGGGGCAAGGGTGGCACAAGCTTGGGCGGCGAACGTTATGGTGGACGAAACTACCAAGTTCATCTTGATAAGGTAGAGTGCAGTTGCAACGTCCCTTAGATCATGCATGCCGCTTGCTCTCATATGATCACGGCCTACAAGGTTTGCGGGTACAACTATGAGGATCTGCCATATATGTCACCCTTGTATCTCTGTTCGAACACCGTTAGTATTTGGGAGATGAGCTTCGAGCCATACCTTGACTCGACACAGTGGGCACCTTATAATGGTTATGACTACGTGCCGCATCCGGATCTAATGAAGGTAGGCAAGGGTAGGAGGAAGAAGAAGCGACTCAAGGGGGACATAGACGCTATAAGAGGGTACGACGAAGACATGTACGGAGGGGGAGACTTCAACGAGACCTATGGCAGGAATCTTTGCTCCGTTTACTAAGAACCTGGTCACAAGGCTAGCAGGCATAGAAGGCAAAGGCAGCGGTGCATGTAGCATATATTTTATTATATTAATGTTAATTGTTTGCAATACTATTTAAAACTACTATGTTAGTACATTGGAACTTTGGAGCTATGTTTACTATGATATATGTTTATTCTGTAATTTTGCATAATAGTTTATTCCTTTTACATTTACTTTGTTTTTATGCACTAATGTTCCATTAAATTATAGTACTCTACATGTTTGTTCTAACATATACATTTGAAATTTAAACTAGGATGGGGGATCATCATCCGCAGTACCCTATTCTTGAGGTGCACTACGACAAGAACCACCGAGCCAAGCGCCTGTCGGAGCTTCAGGAGGACTTGGTACCTCTTAGACTACGCACGCACCAGCCGTACCGCTAGGACGAGCGATACCGACCGTACGTACAGCGTGCCGACTTCCTTGAGATCGTCCGCGTCTTCAACACTGGGCTACCGATCCTCGACCCTGCACTTCTCACTGCTGTTGTTTTGTGCCGGTGATTGAACGGTGCGACCAACTCGCGTTCTATACTCATCTAACTTCTTTTCCTCATAACTTGCATGAGCCACCTCTACGGCATGGTCCTCATTTGCATCCAATCCCTTAATGTATAAAATGCAATCGATTAGGAACGCGATTATATTACATTTAAAATTAGGCAACGAAAAAAGGCTTTCAAGCACTCAACGGCACATAATGCAACAACATGCTCGTTCAAGACATGCATTTGTACTCTTGTCTCCTCCCTTACCTCTCCTCCTCTAACGTCATCCGTCTCTCCAATCCCTATTTGTCAAGCCCAACATCGATTGGGTTACAAATACCGCGTTGTCTAGTAAACTCACGCATCTTTTCTTTGTGATGTTTAACAAATAGGTTGACGTAGTCGAGTCCATATCCCTCTCCGTGCAATTACTTGCCTCCCCTTGATTTATTCAAGAACTTAGCTTGACCATCATAACATTCCCACCTGCATTTCCTAGTGCTCTGTTCAAACGGAAAATTATATCATATATGTCTTAGCAAAAGAAACAAAATACGATTTCATGTTTACCACAAAAATAACCAACCTCATCATAGTCAACCATATGGCCGCAATAATGACCTATTTCAAGCTCCGAAGGAATTAGACCGTAATTAGATTTAACACCACATTCGCACTTAACTGGAGGTGCTTTATAAATTAACCTTTCTTTCTTTTTTTCCTTTGTCTTTGGTGGCTACGACCATTGATTTTTAGGACCATAAAGCCACTCCTTGAAACGACACTTTGCAAATTCATACACCTAAAAGAGGAGACATTAGTACATGCACACATAGAACTAAACATTTAAACAGATACACTTTACACTTACTTCGTGTTTGTTCAGACACACAAACTCCAACGTATTCTCAGGGTTTATCACAGCTTGATCTTCGCATTCGCACAGAGGAGGTTCCTCGAGTCGTCTAACTACGGCTAGGTGCTTCTCCTTAGCCGTCATTGGCCGGGGGTTAGGGGGGTGGAACCCACCGCTTGAAGTGCTCACGTGGATGTCTTCCTCTACACCAATCGTCGAAAAGGAGGTATCTAGGGTCAAACTTGTCTGCACTGTCGATCCACTGAAAGAAAAAGCATCTCTCATGGTCCTACACAACAAGATTCCAACAAAATATTAGTAGCATACTTACAGAAATAAAGAAAAAAAGATAATGGAAATAATTACTTACATTAAAACGATTGCATATGTAGAAGCAACGCAAGATCGTGTCTAGATGTCTCGATTGAAACACGTGGGTCGGGAAACCGGTCACAATTAGGGACGGGGAAGGTCGGGGAGGGGCGGGGGCATCTTTGCTAGACGCATCGGGATATAATTCTTGAGGGGCGACCCGTTTCGCCAAAACTCCTCCCGATACGTTTCTTGCATCTAACAAAACGGTTGTAATTTAACAAACAAAAATCAAAACATCACAAATTAATATCAATGAGAACCATTTGCATTACAACAAATAAAATATAACCTACACTTTGGTGCAAACTCTATCTTAGATGCAAACATGAAAACTATATAAAAACTATACTTTGGTCAAGTAAAAATAAAATTTGGTACATCATCAGTGTGTCCATATATTTATTCACATATAAAAGTTGAGATGCAAACTTAAACAAGCAAAATACATGGTAATCATAATTCTAACTGACCAATTAACCTTAACATTAGCAATCCTAATCTTAATCCTTGATCCAACGTTCTAACAAACTCATATTTTCCTCCATACCCTACCTACTTATTCAAATCATTGATCCACCGTGGAGGCAGGAGGAGAGCTTCATTACCCCGACAAGACCGAGGAGAAGCTTGGAGAAGGTAGGGAGGAGAACGCCAAGGAGGAAAATTGGCATGCGGCCGTGGGAGAGCGGAGGAGGCAATGGCGCTGGCGGTCTTGGAGCTGGAGAGTGGGGTGAGGGAGTATGCACGGAGGCAAACTGCTTGCCTCAAGATCAAGCAGAGAGGAGGAAAGGCTCTGTCGCTGGCCTATATATCCGGCTCTGTCGCGCCCTGGGCGGTGGCGCGTCACTGTCGCGCCATGATGAGTGGCGCGTCACCGCCGCGCCCTGATCGGTGGCGCGGTAGAGCCGTCCACGTCACCGGTCAGGCCCCTGGTCCCTGCCACGTGGGCAAGCTTGCCGCGCCTCCATACATGGTGCGGCAGCGTTAAATCGTCGCGCCGTGTGAATAGGCGCGGGCAAAAATGTTATATTTGAAAAAAAAAATAAACAGTGTTAGTTTTAAAATTAGTTTAAAAATGTGTTAAAATAAAAAAAAATCATGTCCAGTGTCCGCACCACACAGGAGGGGAGAGGAGAGGAGGCAGGGGCACCGCCGGCTGGCTGCTGAAAGCGAAGCGGCGTCGAAGTGATGCACAGCGCAAGACCCACGAGGACACGGCACACGAGTCACGGCCAATAGTTTACGCAGGAAAACGACGGTGACGGACGACTCGTTGACACCTGACGGCCACCCCCGCCCGCCGCCCGCGCCATGACTGGTGATTCAGCTCGGGACGAACCGAATCCGCAGCCATGTGGTCCCACTCCCACGACGGCAACTACCAAAACTACTGGAGTAGAGCTAGAAGGCAGTAACCTGATCTCCGGACACCCGTAAGGAAAGCCAAAGCGGCGGAACGCGCCAGACAAGACGGATAGAGACCCACCTCTCCCGGAGACCAGAGTCCGTCCCGCTCCCGCACCGCCTTTCCGCCGAGTAACAAGGCAAGAATCCCGCGGCGAGGGTCGGCGATTCCGGATGGCCGCCGCGGCCGCAGCGTCTTCGCTGGTGAGGCGTGCCGCAGCCGCCGGCGCTGCCTCGCGCGGCCTGCTCCTCGCCCGCGCCTTCGCCTCGGGAGTAGGCGGGGGCGAGAAGGCCAAGCGGGTGCTGGTGCCGGTGGCCGCCGGCACGGAGCCGGTCGAGGCGGCCGCCACCGCCGACGTCCTCAACCGCGCCGGCGCGCGGGTCACCGTCGCCACCGCCGACCCGCCCGGGGACGACGGCCTCGTCGTCCAGGCCGCCTACGGGGTCAAGCTCGTCGCCGACAGCCGCGTCGCCGACCTGCAGGGGGAGTCCTTCGACCTCATCGCCCTGCCGGTGCGTACGCGTTCCCCTCCTCCCTGGTCACTGTTACCATGCCGTCCGTCAGTCTCGGCCCTGTTACGCAAGCTCTCAGATTGCTTCGCCCTCCTCTCTTGCATTTGCTACCTCGCCGTTTCGCGCTGATGGTCAGTCGATAAATTTGTGTGCTGTAGGGAGGAATGCCTGGGTCAGTTGGTCTCAGAGATTGCAAAGCGCTCGAGAAGATGGTCAAGACCCACGCCGAGAATGGGGCCTCTACGGCGCCATCTGCGCTGCGCCAGCGGTGACGCTGGCTTATTGGGGCATGCTCAAAGGCCTAAAGGTGCGCCATTGACCGGCATTCTGTGCGGTGGTTCTGCTTGGAATTATGTACCGTGCTGAGAAACTGGCGGCTTGTTTTGTTATTGCAGGCGACCTGTTATCCGTTGTTCATGGAGAAGTTCACTGCAGAGGTGATCCCTGTGGACTCGAGGGTTGTGGTCGACAGAAATGCCGTCACCAGCCAGGGTCCAGGAACAGCGATCGAGTTTGCTCTTGCCATGGTGGAGAAGCTGTATGGCAAAGAGAAGATGGAGGAAGTTGCTGGGCCTTTGGTAAGCTACATTACAAGCCATGACACTCATCTATCTCTTTGCTATGTTAAGAACATGTGGATTCCAAATAGCTGATTGTATGCCTTAGTGGTTATTGTTCACAAGGAAGTTCAAATTTGCTAAATTACATCTACAGTATTTTTTATCAAGCAATTGTGTTACTGATCTGTGGTTTCATCCAACAAGTTACAGTGTTGGCCACATTAGAATTTTGTTTAAATCTGACATGATCTACTACACAAGTACTTTTCGTTACCTGATGATTGCATAATTGTTATCCTTCAGTACTTGCGCCCTCAACATGGAGCTGAATATACCATAGAAGAGCTTAATTCAGTTGAATGGGAATGTGGTAGCACACCTCAGGTATGAGATGGAACTGAACTTCATCTGGAAACAAAGAAAAAGATCGTACCCATTCATTTAGGCTACTTTCTCATTTTCTTCCTCATGGAACTCATGTGATTTATATCATTGCTTCTGATAAGAGTAACTTATTTCAGCCTGCTTTGAACTATGCTCCCCATGTCCTCCAACAATCTTGTTTTGGCTCACTTTAACAATATAGCAATCTGCCTTAAAACTGTTACTAGTAATCAGTCATCGGTGATTACTGAGTCATAGGAATGTGGAAAAACTTTTGCAGTAATATGGGAGGGGCACTTTTTCTTTCTTCCTACCTTTTCGAGATGGAGGTGCACAAACTTGTGTACATAGTAGGATAGTGACTAAGAACATCGACCATCATGAACCACTTTTTCTTTTTGGTATAAAGTCATAAAGAAGATGATCGTATGGCGTATATATTTTACATGATGCTATTTATATTCTGGATACCCACTCAGGAGCTCTGCCCTTCATTCCCTTCATTAACAGAGAAGAGAGTTTTCAGCAGGAACCAGTATAGTCGTGTTTCTAGTTTCTTCCTGTGGTGCCCCTGTGATCCTGAAACCAGCTGGCTGATTGTGTTTGGGTGGTGCTGTTTCAGCCTCACCTTTGTTTGTATACCTCTTTTCTCTCTCAATGAAATGTCACACGATGCATCGTTCGAGCAAAAAGAAGGCTGCTGGCAATGCTAACTTTTTTTTATATGATCCTAATGTTTTCCAATTATGGTGTATTAACCTGAACTTTTTAATATTTGCTGATGCTTTTCCCTTTTATGTGTCTCTAGGTTCTTGTTCCAGTTGCTAATGGATCAGAGGAAATTGAAGCCTTCAATTTGATAGATGTGTTGCGTAGAGCAGGAGCAAATGTTATTGTTGCATCAGTGGAGGAGAAGTTACAAATTGTGACCCGTCGCCATAAGTTTAATCTAATTGCTGATATGATGTTGGATGAAGCCACTGAAATGCAATTTGATTTGATTGTCATGCCGGTATGTGGCTGCTGAGTTATTTTTCAAGGTGCATTTAAGGTCTCTCACTGACTAAAGCATTTTATCTGTAAACAGGGAGGTTTGCAAGGTGCCCAGAAGTTTGCTAGTACAAAGAAACTTGTTGACTTACTCAAGAAACAGGCAGAATCAAATAAACCATATGGTGCAATATGTGCCTCTCCAGCTCATGTGCTTCAGCCGCACGGTTTACTGAAGGTACTTTCCTCTGCCCCAATGAACATATGCGCTTGTTAGCGTTCGTCCTATCTTATATCCTCAGTTCAATACCATCGACATTAATGCAGAAAACCAGGAACAAGACTTATAGTTTCATTGAAACGGTATTAGTGTATGAACAAAAAGCTGCGAGGTGTATTAACTTTGAACTACATGTGTCATTGTAGGGCAAGAAGGCGACAGCATTTCCACCTATGTCGCACCTGCTCACAGATCAGAGTGCATGTGAGCATAGGGTTGTTGTAGATGGTAACCTTATCACCAGTAGAGCCCCAGGCACTGCGACAGAGTTCACCCTAGCCATTGTTGAAAAACTGTTTGGTCGAGATAAAGCTGTCAGTATAGCAAAGGAGTTGATCTTTATGTGATATTGCACTGATCTGGTGGTGTGAGAAGTATAATAATGTGGATAAACATACCAGAAACCTGTTAGTGATGCTTCTGTCTCTATGCCTGAACTATTAATAGCCACCTGAGGATTTCAGTTGAATGGTACTATTACATCACACTGTAAACTGTGAGCCAAGAATGTACATCTTGCATACCATAGGCGAGAGGTCCTAGTAAGAGTAGTGCTTGTATGGACCATTTCTTTTCCCTATAATACAAAGATATGCAGCTCTCCTATGTGTTCGAGAGAAAAAAAAACTTGTAAATACTTGTCCTGTCCGTTCAAAAAAAACACAAAGTGGCGGTGCTGCCTTCCCACCACCCACCTGCTCCGCCACTGATCATGGATTTACACGAAGTTAAGAAGCTGTTTGGTCAATCAAAGAGAGCACAGGACACTGGCAGCAATCTGGTCTTCGTGTCATGGTAAACTGTACTGTAAGCTATTGATTTGATAAGCATTGTACTCTTTCCAATGTACGAACTCTTTTATCCTCGTTAGTACTGCTCTTCTTTTTTGTTGCTGTTATGTGCAGTTTTTAGATGTAGGATTCAGATAGGGAAAACAACAACGAATATGTACAAGAAGTCAAAAGTATACTCTTGAGAGCATTCTGTTCAGCTTGTCCCTGAAATGTCATTTCTTGACTTGGAATCCATTGCATCCTCCAGAATTCTTTAGAAAAGCTTAGGTGGGTTATGATCATGATTGTCACTTTCGCATCAGGAATACTAGTTTGTGGATGGAAATAACATAATCATAAAGCTATAGGAAAGTAGCATCTTTCCCTTTTGTTCTGAGTGAGAGAGATAAGTGGCTGCAGTCTGCGGATCACTTTTGCTTTGGCGAGTAGAAGAAAATGCGGTGTTCTAACAAATCTATGATTAGATCCCTGCAATAGATGCCTGTCCCATTCATATACCTGGAAGTGGATGAAGGTTCTCTGTCGCACTATATGACAACCCTCCAGTTGGTTGCAACTGCATATCACTTGCACTTTATATGTTGTTTAGCATCCCTCTGAGTTCAGATCAGCATAACTTTGGCTAGTAAAGATTTGTCCCTTCCACCTTTCATGAAACGGCCTAGTTTCAAGGTCTTTTTAGCACAGAGTCTGTGGAGAGAGTAGGTTGTGAAAAAGGCTGTAATAGTTAAGTAACTATTGGAAACTTCATAGAAACTTCGTTATCGATATGTTTACTCAGCACTTGTCATAGTGACGAAATTGACAACAAAAATGCTGGTGACTCATGCTTGATATTTTTTTTTGCGGCGACTACATCATATATTTATTTTATTTCTCAAAATTTCCATTGTTAGACGGGTTTCTCTCTCTCCTTTCATGTTAAGACATTTGATTTTAAAACTCACTTAGTAGTAAAAAAGATTTATCACTGCACTGGAAAGAGATATTGAGTACTGCAGTTTGTGAGTTACTGATAGAAGCCTAACAGGCTGAGATGTTATATATTCAAAGCTGTGTTATAAGAGGGTTACATATATATAGCCTAGGATACAGAGGTGTCCAAGGGGCCAGACCCGAAGGGGCTAGTTTAGACTAGAGTGATAGATTGCAGAGGAGCCCAAAGGGCCAAGCCAGCCTGGAGGAGGTGGCGCATTTATAAGTAGAGTAGAAGCATTCACATAGAAACTAGATATTTTAACACCCCCCGCAGTCGGAACGTCGCTAGGACGAACGTTAAGACTGGAGCGAAACTCTAGGAAAACAGAGGAAGGGAGCCCCTTGGTGAAGACATCGGCGAATTGCGACGTGGTGGGAACGTGGAGCACACGGACAGCCCCAATGGCGATCCGTTCCCGGACGAAGTGGAGGTCGATTTCCACGTGCTTGGTTCGCTGATGTTGGACGGGGTTGGTGGAGAGGTAGATGGCGCTGACGTTGTCGCAGTAGATGAGGCAAAGCGGATCAGAAGCGGCCGATGCAGCTCTGCGATGAGTTGCCATGCAGCAGGGAGGCCTCGGCGACACCGTTATATGACGACCCGATACTCGCCTCGGCTATTTGGACCGAGAAGCGGTGTCTTGTCGCTTAGAAGACCAGAGACGAGGCTGCCTCCAAGGAAGGCACAACGTGAGCCGGAGGTGGAGCGGCGAGTGTCAAGGCGACCCAACAAGTCGGCGTCTGTGTACACAATAAGTTGAGTAGGGATGATCGAGGAATGACCGGGCCATAATCCAGAGTGCCAGAAGGTATCGAAGGATTCGTTTGGCGGCGAGAAGGTGACTCTCCCTAGGATCATGCATGTGAAGACAGATCTCTTTGGATTGCGTAGGCAATGTCGAACTGGTGAAAGTGAGGTATTGTAAAGCACCCGCAAGGCTACGATAATTTGTAGGATCGACAACAGCGGGACCACCATCGATGAGAGGCTTTGGCGCAGGTGTCAGCAGGGTAGAGAAGCAAGGTTTGCAATCGGTCATGCCATGACGAGCCAAGATATCGAGCAGCATCTCGCCGTTGGGAGAGAAAAAATAGCAGCACCTCGTCGTTGAACCGACATGCCAAGGAAGTGATGAAGAGGACCAAGATCTTTCATGGCGAATTCCTTCTTCAAAGCATCAATAACACGGTGAGAAGCTCTTTGGGAGGATGCTGATGAGTATGATGTCATCAACATAAAGAAGAAGGTAGACTGTCAGCACCCCGGCGGTAGATGAACAGGGAGGTGTCCGAGCGAGCTTCAGAGAATCCCAAAGTGACCAAATAAGCAGCAAATCGACTGTACCAAGCGCGTGGTGCCTGTTTCAGACCATCTGAGGACTTGTTCAACTTATGGACATGATTGGGAAGAGCGAATCAAGTGAAACCCGTGGGTCTGTAAGCGATGAGACGGTCTCTGAAAGAACCTCATGAAGAAAAGCGTTATTCACATCAAGTTGATGTATAGGCCAATCCCGAGAGTGGGCCAAAGTGATAACCGTGCGGACAGTTGCAGGTTTGACAACGGGGCTGAAGGTTTCATCATAGTCGACACCTGGCTGTTGTGTAAAGCCTCGAAGAACCCAGCGAGCCTTGTATCTGTCCAGGGAACCATCAGCATGAAATTTGTGTTTGAAGATCCATTTTCCAGTGACCACGTTTGCCTTGGCAGGGCGAGGAACGAGGTCCCAAGTGTGGTTCTCAATAAGAGTTGCATGTTCTTCTTCCATGGCGCGACGCCAGTGAGGATCAGTGAGGGCGTCACGACAAGACCGAGGAATGGGTGACAGCGCCTCAGTGTGAAGATGAAGGCGCGGTTGGTGATATCCAGACTTCCCATGGGTCAGCATGCCATGGGAGTTGGCGACCAGTGGGATGGGAACAACACCGACAGGAGGAGCAGCCTTCACGTAGCGAGGTGGTGAAGGGACGATGCTCTAGCGTCGGGAGGGAGCAGCAATGGGAGACGTCGGTGAAGGTGTTGGAGCAGGAATGCGCTGGGAGTAGACTTGGGTGACAGGCGGTTTGTTGAACGCCGTCGGTGGTGCCTGGGTCGTGGTGGGCGCCATGGGCACCATGGGTGCCGGAGGCATCACGGGTGCTGAAGGCACCATGGGCGCCGGACGAGCAGCAGGCATCATCGGCGATGGAGAGGTAGCAGGTACCGGGGACGCCGGAGGTGGAGCCGAAAGTGCGGGGAAGCCTGGTGGAGACCTGGGTGCCCGCGGGAGATGACCAGGGCTGTGTGAGAGCACTGGCAGCAGTGGAGGCTCATCGGGCGGCTCAACCTGCAGGGGTGCAGCAGCCACGGGCAGGGAGCTGGCACGGCCTGAAGTAGTGGGTGTACTTGCAGAATGAATAGGAGCTGGTGGAGGCTCATTATCAGTTAGAAAATCAAGCTCGCCGGGTGGAGGAGATGATCGGTGATGGGAGAAAGGAAAATGGGATTCGTCAAAGGTAACATGGCGAGAGATGATGACCCGGTTGGAGGTGAGATCAAGGCAGCGATAACCTTTGTGATCAGGGGAATAACCAAGAAAGACGCACAAAGTAGAGCGAGGAGCAAGCTTATGTGGGGCAGTGGCAGTGAGATTAGGATAGCAGGCACACCCAAAGACCCGAAGTTCGCGGTAGGAAGGGTGAGTGGCATGGAGGACGAAGTAGGGTGTGGACAGACCCAACGTCTTGGTGGGAAGACGGTTGATCAGATAGGTGGCAGTGGCAAGAGCGTCCACCCAATAGGAGGGAGGCATAGATGCTTGAAAGCGATGAGTGCGGATGACATTATTTGTGGTGCGAAGGATGCGCTCGACCTTGCCGCTTTTCTTTGTGAGGTGTATGGACAAGACATCACGCAGGGAAACGCCTTTGGCAAGAAAGAAAGCGCGAGAGGAAGAGTTGTCAAACTCACGGCCGTTATCGCATTGGATGGATTTTATGAGGCACCCAAACTGAGTGGAGACATAGGCGAAAAATTAGAGTGGAAAAAGTGTCGGATTTGAGGCGAAGTGGGAAAGTCCATAGAAAATGCGAGTAGTCATCAAGTATAACTAAATAGTACTTGAAACCAGAAATGCTGAGTGAGAGGTCCACAAATCACAATGAACTAAATCAAAAGGTTTGGATGCCCTGGACATCGAACTAGTGAAAGGTAACCGAACATGTCGTCCAAGCTGACAAGCATGACATAAAGAGGTGTCGCCGGGCTTGCTGCAGATAATAGAGGAGGACTGAGTAAGGTGTTGGAAGGCATCCTTGCCGGGGTGACCAAGGCGACGGTGCCAATCGATCGTCGACGGGGTGATGACAAGAGCACAGGAGCCAGACGATGATGATGGCAGCTGTAGGGTGTAGAGAGGTCCCGAGCTATTACAATGAAGGAGGATGGTGCCCGTCGTAGGTCCTTCTGAAATGCTAACAGGTCAAATTCAATGAAACATGGTCATCGGTGGTGAATTGACGAACAGAGAGAAGATTTTTGATGATGTCAGGAGCAAGGAGAACATTGTTGAGGCGAAAGGGACCGGGAAGGGTGG